GCATTTAAGACATGAGGCTCCTGGATCAAAGACAAAGGACTTTATTATTCACGGTGCAGCAAGAAGTATGTGCACTGGCTCATGGTACTCAGGATACAGTCAAATTCACAGCTATGACTTTTTCTTTTTTAACAGTGAAAAGATACAAACCAAAACCACCACAGGGGAAAAGTCCCTTACAATCAAGTCAGGAGAAAATCAGGTGCAAGTGTCCAAGAATTCTCTGTAAGTAGTGTCACACAGAACATGCAAAATCCTTTAATCAGTTGCGATAACATGTATGAAATGTTGTCTACCAGGGAAATTCACTGGACACTTAGAGCTCTGCGTAGCATGTACCAAAATGCCAGACTCTCAGAAGGAAAGCAGGTGTTCTGTATAAACCATATTGTTTGCACAAACAGTTTAGGAACTGTGAGCTATTCTTATCTGTTCAAGAGTAGTGGGAACACTCCTAAAATATGACTTCTCAGATGCCAGCCAAGGGTCAGTCTTATAAGCAGGCTTTACTAAGGATAGTAATCCTTTTCTGCACAGGAATATATTGAATATATTCTTATTTTTTTATTTAAAAAACTAATTTTCAAGATATTTTTTGGCAAATAGTATGAAATGGAGCAGTTATAAACACTAAAATGTTATCCTAATATTGTTTAAATTAGTAAAAAACAGAAACAAAGTATATGAAAATTGTGGAACGGTTCAGTAAATTAGAGAACAGTAGTGTGAAGAAATATAAAATAGTAATTAAAATTATACTTTTGAAAACTTTTAATGACAGAAATGATTATGCTGGGAAATCAATATGTAAAATGTTATATACAATAACTCAAAACAGAGACATACAGAATAAAATCTAAAAAAAGAAATTTTAAAGGATAATCATGATTTATTTTGGGGGATGGTTATTATAAAACAATTTTTCTTTTCCTCTTGACCCTTTTCTGTGTTTTCAATTTTTATTTAATAAACATGTATTTACTTTTCTAATCAGAAAATAAGTTATCATAATAAGATAATTATGCTTGAAAGATTTTAATTATATAGGTCTGTGGATCCAAAGTAAAAAAATATAAAATATTTAGTGGGTACAGTGAGTAACATGAGCACAATGTATAAAACAGAGCTTAATTCAGGAACTCTTAGAATGGCAAATGACCATTAAAATGCAATATTTTTCTAATTAACATTTTGCTTTCTTCAATTAGCTAACATTAAAAAAACAGAGGGAGGGGAAATACTTTCTTATAAACACTAAAGAAAACACAATGGCTAATTTTGACTACAAGGAAGAAAATGGTTTATAAACTAGCAAATGCAAAAATAAAAATATTTTTCAATGGATAGAACAAAGGATGAATTTCCTGTTACTTTGTATGTATACATGATTATAATTTGCCTACAGTTCATAAGTATTAGCATTAATAAGTCACATAAATTTTCATAGCTTTAAGGAGAATTAGGTAATTAATCTATAAACTTTTTGAGAAAGTGATTTCTTCCATATTCAGTTCCAATTCCCCTCCATTTGCTTTAATACCTCTGCCCTATCACATATATGCTACTTCACAGAAAGGTATTTTCCTACTACCCGGACTTTCCATCACTGCATTAAGTCACCATATATAAAGACTGCTATTGTATCCTCTTATCCCTAGAGAGATGAAATGGTTTGCAGCTTCTTTTAAATCACAAAGCAATTTTTTGTGTGTACTGAACTGGCCCAAGGCTACAGAGATTGTGCAACAGAGACCCACAGAGGCAGCCTCACCCCCCACACGACCTCCACTTGTGGCTGCTTCCCAGTCATGCCAGAACATGAAAACCTTGCAGGCGCTCCATGTGGGGGCAGCTGCTCTCTGCATCTGAAGGGATTCTCGAGCTAAGTTTGAAAAACTAAATTCTGAAAAGCCATTGCAGTGGCAAAACACTCAGAAAAAAAAAGCCAAAATTTTTCTGGTTAGGAAGGGAAATGTGGTTAACCTAAATTGGATCTGGGGCGCAAATGGAGACAAGAAGCACTCCCACTGTTGTGGTTCAACCATGCATTTTTATTTCCATTATTAAAGAAGAATAGTTTTTTAAATAGTCTATCATCACAAATTTAACTGCTTAAAAACAGCTATGTTTGGGGAGGTAGTGAGGAAAGAGGACAGATGAACAAAGCATTGCCATAGATTCTCTTCATTAGAGTTTATTAACTAATGAAAGCCAACAATTGGTGCTTGCTAAGTACTATCGATAGTCCTTCAAAGACTTCAATGTTTCCATTTTTTCTCTTTCCCAGGAAGAAACATTAAAAATATTAGAAAAAGCATGGGATTTGGAGTAAAAAACAACCGTTCAGATGACACTGTCAAACATGCATTAAAGGCCGGGCGCGGTGGCTCACGTCTGTAATCCTAGCACTCTGAGAGGCCCAGGAGGGTGGATCACTCAAGATCAAGAGTTCAAAACCAGCCAGAGCAAGACCTCGTCTCTACTAAAAATAGAAAGAAACTAATTGACCAACTAAAAATATATATACAAACAATTAGCTGGGCATGGTGGCACATGCCTGTAGTCACAGCTACTCAGGAGGCTGAGGCAGTAGGATCACTGGAGCCTAGGAGATTGAGGTTGCTGTGAGCTAGGCTGATGCCACAGCACTCACTCTAGCCTGAGCAACAAAGTGAGACTTTGTCTCAAAAAAAACCCCCAAAAAACATGTATTAAAAAACAATTTTCAGGCCAGGTGCGGTGGCTCATTCCTGTAATCCTAGCACTCTGGGAGGCCAAGGTGGGCGGATGGCTAGAGGTCAGGAGTTTGAAACCAGCCTGAGCAAGAGCAAGACCCCGTCTCTACTATAAATAGAAAGAAATTAATTGGCTAACTAATATATATAGAAAAAATTAGCCGGGCATGGTGGCGCATGCCTGTAGTCCTAGCTACTCAGGAGGCTGAGGCAGGAGGATTGCTTGAGCCCAGGAGTTGTCTGAGGTTGCTGTGAGCTAGGCTGACGCCATGGCACTCACTCTAGCCTGGGCAACAAAGAGAGACTGTCTCAAAAACAAAACAAAACAAAAACACAAAAAATCCCAATTTCCAGACACTAGGCTATCCTGCCATTTATCATCTCTGAATTTTAGGCTTTTCCTCTATAAAATGGGAATACTAACAAATATCACCCTTTTCATAGGTGATTATGTACAAAGAAAATATAAGCAAACTGTAAAGTGCTATGTAAGCGTTTATTATGGTTGTTGCTGTTAGGTCTGCCTGACATTGAGAAAGTCCTTAATAAATGGTCACAAAATTAATAATGAATTAATCTAATTATAGTAGACAAATGGTAAGAGTAGATAAATTAAGAACCTTGAAACCAATAATAACACTTTCACATAAAAATTAACAAATATTTAACTATAAAATATTAATATCTTATATGCAACTAAGTTGAACACTCTGGAACACAGTAGAGTAAGGGTTAAGAGCCAGGGCTCTTGAGTTCAAAGTCCAGGTAACAGGCCGGCGCTGGAGCCTAGGAGATTGAGGTTGCTGTGAGCTAGGCTGACACCACGGCACTCACTCTAGCCTGGGCAACAAAGTGAGACTCTGTCTCAAAAAAAAAAAAAAAAAAAGTCCAGGTAACAAGTTTTGTGACTTTGGGAAAATTACTTAATCTTTTCTAAAACTCAGTTTTCACATCTGTAAAATGGGGATAGTAGTAGTACCTATCTCTCAGGATTTCTGTGAAGATTAAATGAAGAAATATAGGCAAATCACTTACTATAGTGTTATTTACTTAGCTATCATCACCTTCATCAAACTATATATACAAGGTGACTTTTTATGAGTGGACCTAGACCAGAAGTCACCCATTTTACAATCTGATATTCACCTTCAGCCATAGTAGTGAACCACACATGTTCATTGCTATTTGAAAAATCCCACAAAAAGTGTCCACTGTGGTCATATATCCTGTTATGTCCCCGCATACCAATATGCTGCTTAGGTGAGGTTAGACATGCCTCCACAGAAGTGTGGTTCCCTGAACCAAATGTTAGCAGATGTCCAAGGTATAATTCTTCATTTTTTACTAACTGCTCTCTGAACCATGCCGAGTCCCTAGGTTATACTTTCAGATTTTAAATTTCTTATCTAAGTTGCTCATGACCTATGATTCACTTCTAGTAAAATTTGTCTTTCTTTTTTTCAAATGAAAATGTCAAAAATCTTAAGATGTGCACACATGCATACTTTTTCTAATCTGCAGTGAGTGAAATCTTGCTAAAGAAGTTAGAATAATGAAACACTAAGATAGGAGTCCCTTATAATAGTATCTACCATGTTAAATGATGGTGGTGGTCAATGAAGCAATTACTTCACATCTAATATCCTACTGAAATTAAATAACTGCATTTTAAGGAAATAAAACCTAACCTTTCTTGAGATGTCCTGCTAAATGAGTCAAAAAACCTTAATTCTAGACCTATAAAATTAATCAAAATAATCCAACTGTGCAATCATCCTACTTCTCATCATAGAGAATCTAATAATGCAGTACATTTTGGATCTTGGATATAAAACACTTTCCTCCCCCACCCCCTAAACAGACATCTTCTTGGGATCATGGTCCACTCTTCTGGGACATGGAAGGCCCCTTCCTCCGGGGAAAGGGTGGGCCCAGCTGTCTCGGCACGAGCTGCTCCTTCAGCCTGCCTTGCCTGCCTGTGACAGCACTACTTGCTAGCCAGAAGCATCCGGCGTCTGCTGGGCTGCTGCAGATTGAACAGACTGTGAATCCAGCCAGAGGATAAGAGGTTGTTTTAATTGGCTAAATCTGCTATGTACTAAGCGTATGGCTACGAATTTGTAGCCAAAACACTACTCTAAAAAAAAAAAAAAAAATGTCATGTACAATTTAAACACAAAACAAGAATGACATTTCCGTTCGATTCTAGTGTTGCCCGCAAGGGTTTTTAACCTAACATTTTATAATGACTCTGAAATCCTTTACCTTTGCTGAAGTAGAATTTTCATGGTATGCTCCTTGTACCAAGTCCATAAGAGCACTTGCTAGAAGTTCCACAACCTAAAAAAGCAAGAAGAAAAATTAAAAGAAAGAATTTGAAAATGTATCCCCATTTTTGCCTCAGAATGCTTCACAAGGCTTAGCAGCAAAGCAGGATTTGTGCTAGCTAGAAAAAATGGGGCTATGTGCAAAGATCCTGGCAAATGGCACTGCCCACCTGGATATTAAAGCTGTGATCCCATTTTTTCAGTCATAATTCAAGCCAAAAAAAAAAAAATCTTATAAGCATAGCATTTAACTTTCATATATATGAAAATCCAGTATTAGCCATTTTGAACATAAGCTTAAATTTCAGATAACTAATGTAATCTTAACTCAATTTATTTTCTGCATGTTTATTTCTGTCAGGTGGATACTTTTTCAGTATTCCCATTCTGGGAGCCATTACAATGCTAATTTTCATGCATAATATAGAAAGAAAAGCAAAAGCAAGAGAATGGTTAACCTTTCAAATGTGTTCATTCTGTTGTACTTAAAATGCACTGTGGATATACTTGCTGTAGGGCCCCTGGGTCAAATATAGCATAAACATTGAAAATTTTTACCGAACTGCAATACTGAAAATAATATTCATAAAACATGTATTATTTTCAAGGCTTAGACTATTTTTTAAAAAAAATCAAGCAAAATCAAGAGCTTTGAAGTTGTTATAGAATGTAAAACAAGCAGAAAATAGTAAATGGTCTCTTTGGAACTATTGTACAATTTAGAGTCGTTTGCATAAAGCATCTTAATTCAAGAAGATAAAATAGTGGTGTTTATGATAATGTTTAATGTAGCCATTTCAAATAAGAATTCCTCAAGGCAGCCCCATCTGCCTCTTACAAGTCTTAATATCTTGTATATTTAACTTCCTATGTTATGCAGCCCTGTATCAGATTTCCAATCTTTCCTTCCTAAAATTTAGCTGAGTTCTGATTGAATTAAAGGATTTTGTTTCAGCTTTTATCATTCTTGTAATTGAAGACATTATTAAGCCAAAGGATACCGACTCAAACAACAAGATACTACAATCTCAGGTACCCTAGATTTAATAAACATTTTCTTAGAGGCAAATTACATTAATTTGTAGAAAGACTTGCTTTGAAATTTTAACACATGAGCATTTATCTCCACATTTATACTGCATAACACACACAGGGCCACTGATACGGAAATTTTGCTGATTAAAGGCATATTTTTTCTAGCTCTGTAGATGGGTTAATTTGTAAGATCTATACAAAGTCTTTTTCTTTTTTCTTTTTTTAAATCACATTGTCCTTTAGGTAACCAAATACTTAAGAAATATTGTAGCAACATGAGCTGCAGAGGAACTGGAAGGACAATGATCCTACAGTGTTACCAGATGTGTTGAGTTATTTAAGTGGGGAAGAGAGAAAAATGAATGGATTTTTTTCCCCTAAAGGTATCAGATAAGCTCTATTCCCAAATCCAGAAGGATTGAGTATCACCAATAGGTCTATGAAAGACTGTAACTAAATGCACAGCATCAGATTGGATTACAGTTTATACAAGCAACATCCCAAGATCCCCCTGATGGCTGGACACATAATACAGATCAATCACTCACTAAGAAATGTTATGGTTTTGAAACAGTTTGAGCTCTGAGGCCAGCACTGGTAATGTGAAGAGGGATTTACAAAGAAAAAGTCTGACACTAAATGTCAAAATGATGGCAGGAATAGTGGATCTGGCTCTGGATAACCAGAGTGTTCCTTTACATCCCTGAAATTCCAGACCAGGCAGAAGCAACAAAAACATTTTGTTCTCGGACTCTTTTTCTCTTAATGCAATTAGCAGATATAGGCAGTATATCTGCTATACACAATCTGTACTTACAAGTTCCTAATTTGGCCTGTACTTACAAATGGCTCTACTTACTTGAATGGAATACACTTCCACAGCCAATAACAACCATTAAAAAATCTTTGGGGCCTGCTGCGGTGGCTCATGCCCGTAATCCTAGCACTCTGGGAGGCAGAGGCAGGTAGATTGCCTGAGCTCAGGAGTTTGAGACCAGCCTGAGCAAGAGTAAGACCCCCCACTCTACTAAAAATACAGAAAAATAGCCAGGTGTGGTGGTGCACACCTGTAGTTCCAATTACTTGGGAGGCTGAAGCAGGAGGATCTCTTGAGCCCAGGAGTTTGAGGTTGCAGTGAGCCATGATGATGCCACTGCGTTCTACCCAGAGAGACAGAGAGAGACCATGTCTCAAAAAAAAAAAAAAAAAAAAAGAAAAAGAAAAAAGAAAAAAAATAAAGAAAAGAAAAAAAAGCTTTGGACTTAAGAGTTAACAGGTCAAGGAAGAGAAGAGTTTATGAAAAGCAGGAATAGCCTAAAGGGGTTGAATGTGTCCCAGGTGAGGGTGACTTGCCTAGTGTACCTCTTTCCATTGTCTGAAATGTTTCTTTTTAAAATTATACCAAATAAAGATGTGTTTAAATATCATCCTTCTTTAAACTTGCAAATATTTTTAGAAAGACCACATGGCTACTCCACTAGCCATTCATAATTTAGTAAGCTCATTTTTAATGATCTGATTTCCTTTATTATTATTATTATTACTTGGCTTATTATCTCAGACATTCACCTGTTTAGATACCTGCTGTACTTAACTGTAAGAAAGTATTTGCTTAATACCACTTTTCCCCCTCAGATTCTTGGGGAATGATTTGTTCAAGCAATTCAAAGTGCTAGCAAGAATAATGGCAGCCAGAGGAGAATCCAGAGGCTAACATACCAAGTATTAGACTTGGTGGTCTAGACAAGAGCAACTATGAGAAAGATTCAAGGGCTTTTGTTCCTCAGTGTGAAATGACAAAACACTTTCCATAATACTAGAAAAAGAAGATAGGCTAAAAAAGCCTCAATGTTAGCCACCCCTGGAAGTCCAACAGATTGGAGAACTGAAAGGAAACAGACAAGAACACTAGGAGCCAGAGAATCTAGATTCGATTTCAAGGTCTACTAATAATATTTGTTGACAGACTTGGGGCAAATCATTAATTTTTCTGAGTTTTGGCTGGCTTTCTTTCTTTCTTTCTTTCTTTCTTTCTTTCTTTCTTTCTTTCTTTCTTTCTTTCTTTCTTTCTTTCTTTCTTTCTTCTGGCGCCCCATTCTGTCTTCCGTTCCTTCCTTCCTTCCTTCCTTCCTTCCTTCCTTCCTTTTCCTTCCTTCCTTCCTTCCTTCCTTCTTTTTCTCCTTCCTTCCTTCCTTCCTTCCTTCCTTTCTTCCTTTTTCTTTCTTTTTTCTTTCTTTTCTTCTTCTCTTCTTTCTTTCTTCTTCCTTCCTTCCTTCTCCTTCTTCCTTCCTTCCTTCCTTCCTTCCTTCTTCTTTCTTTCTTTCTTCTTTCTTTCTTTTTCTTTCTCTCTCTCTCTTTCTGTCTCTCTATGTCTCTTCTCTCTCTTCCTTCCTCCTCCCTCCCTCCCTCCTCCCTTCCCTTCCCTCTCCTCCTCCCTTCCTTCCTTCCTTCCTTCCTTCCTTCCTCCTTCTTCCTTCCTTCCTTCCTTCCTTCCTTCCTTCCTTCCTTTTTCTTGAGACAGTCTAGCTCTTTCACCAGGGCTAGAGTGCAGTGCATCCTTATAGTTCATAGCAACCTGGGCTCAAGCAATTCTCCTGCCTCAGTCTCCTGAGTAACTGGGACTTCAGGCATGCACCACCATGCCTGGCTAATTTTTTCTATTTTTAGTAGAGATGGGGTCTCACTCTTGCTCAGGCTGGTCTCAAACTCCTGAACTCAAGCAATCCTCCTTCCTCGGCCTCCCAGAGTGCTAGGAGTACAGGCATGAGCCACCGCACCTGGCCTTGCGCTTTGTTTTTCTTCAACTATAAAATGGGGGGAGTTGCAAAAGATGACTCCTTAAGGTCTCTTCCAGCTCTACAACTCTGAGCTTTTAAAAAAATGCAAATCTTAGTATTTATAATTAGGCATATAAACTTAGAAATTGCTTGATCATAATCTTTGATGGAAAATCTTTGCTCATATTATTCATTTTTATCTGTTGTCTTCACATGAACCTTTCCCGCTATCTGAATTCTACTGATTACTTTCTTTGCGAAACTTTTGTACCCAATCCCTTTGCTTCTAATACCTAGAATTAACATGAAACAACTTTCATTTTTTAAACCATTATGACTATAGCCCACTACACCAGCTGGCAAAGAAGTCTTAGTTGGGTCAATTAATTAAAGGTGATTTTGCTGAGTTCTGGGTTTTGTTTGTCTGTTTTAGAGATAGGGTCTTGCTCTGCTGCCCAGGCTGGAGTGCAGTGGCTTGATCATAGCTCAATGAAGGCTCCAACTCTGGGATGGGTTCAAACAATCCTCTCACCTCAGCCTCCCAAGTAGCTGGGACTATAGGCATGCATCACAGTGCCGGACTTGGTACAAGTTTTGGGTAGACAAAGGGCATAGTATGGAAACCAAGATAACAGTGTTTTTGTTTGTTTGTTTGTTTTTTGAGACAGAATCTCACGCTGTTGCCCAGGCTAGAGTGCTGTGGTGCTAGCCTACCTCACAGCAACCTCAAACTTCTGGGCTCAAGGGATCCTTCTGCCTCAGCCTCCCGAGTAGCTGGGACTACAGACACATGCCACCATGCCCGGCTAATTTTTTCTATATACTTTTAGTTGACCAATTAATTTCTTTCTATTTTTAGTAGAGATGGGGTCTCGCTCTTGCTCAGGCTGGTCTCAAACTCCTGAGCTCATGATCCGCCCACCTTGGCCTCCCAGAGTGCTAGGATTACAGGTTTGAGCCACCGCACCCGGCCCATACAGTGTTTTTTTCTTTAATGTGTGACCAAATATTTTGGATGAAAGTAGGTTTTAGTTCAACAACAGAACACATGCAAAGGTTATTTTAACCAAAATCAGAGATCTCTGAAATATTGACTTGCTGCATCCTGAAGCATTGTTTCAGATGCTAAAACGGTCACCATCAACATTAAATAGTTTCCCTTAGCCATCTGGAAAGCAATTAAATGAGAGATATGTTTCTT